AATAAAATATATTAGATGACATTATCTATTGCATATCATACAGATTTTTAAAACTTGCATTTCTTATTCATTCATCAAAAGTTTGAATTACGATTGCGAAGCTCTCATTTATAATTTAAGCATTAAAAAGAGCTTTAAATATATGAGTAAACTAAATATATGAAAACAATTTGACAAACACGGCCCACTGTACCTCAGGCCCCCATAGAACCGAAAGCAACAACAATCAGACATTGATGATGGGGCAAGCCCATATAATCAAAGTCGGGAGAGTCAGAGTCAGGGCTTAGTGGCTGGGCAATCAGTCAGTCAGTCCGTCAATCAAGCGTCTATATATAGTCTCGAAAACTGCATTCACACACACTATAGAGACGATCAGAGCGAGACGGTAATACTTTTGGGGGGTGGGGGAGAGAAAGAGATGGCGAATAAGTTGACCTGTCAAGTTCATACGATATTTATTGCATTTAATTGATGTCTCGCATTGTGGGAATAATTGTAAGGCAAAAAATAAATAGTCCAGGGAAAAAATGACACTAAATAAATGAATAAAAAAATTAAACTATTTTTAATACTTTACCCTTACAGTTTGTTGTAACATGTTGTTTATCATTTATATGGACCCTGGTTTATTATATAATATTTATCAGACATGATTAGCTCAGGCTTAAATTATCTAACGAAATCTTATCTTATTTGTTGTATCTTTAAGATTAAATCTAGAATTGTGTCAGATATTTTGTTCTTTATTGATAACTGCGATTATGAAGCTCTCACTTCAGAATGATGTTTAACCCTTCGACGTCGCTCCCTTTTTTTGTTCTTAAAAAAAATTTTTTTTTGACAGGATTTTCAGGGTTTCTGTTGTTTTTTTTGGGTATCTTTGTTGGCTTCCCGTTTAAATTTCAATTTAAATTTCATTTCCCGTTTTTCTTTGTGGTGCCCGGGAGGGGGTTAAGACTTGAAACCAGCTGTCGCCATCGGGGGTTATCAAAAGTGTTTGGTTACTCCTGTTTTTTGTGTTTGCTTACACTTGTGAATATTTCATGTGCACTTACTCATGCTCCATCTCTTTCCCCCCATTACAGCTGTCGGAAGAGGAAAAAACAGAAGAGGAAGCAGAAGAACAGCCAATTTGTAGACGACTCTTCGAGCCAGTCCTCTTTGTTTTCGTTTTTTGTCACCATACATTTCGGTTTCAGTTTTATTGTGTAAGTTCTTTTTCCAGATACTCTAACTTTATTTGTTTGGCTTCAAAACTTTTTTTCTTAAAAATGTAAAAAAAAATCTTTTTTAGTGCTAAAAGTGTAATAATAAACAGAATAACCTTAATCTTTACTATAGTATACTACAATCTTTTGATTCATTCTTTTTAGTTTTCTATTCCTGTTCCTATGGCCGTATTATATTTTCCAATCTTTTTATATTTTAAATCGGGTTTTTCCCGATTCACCCATTTATATAGAGTATTTCGTAAGCTTTTGGCTACCTTTCTGTCACTCTTGTTTGCTCTTGTTTTTATGTTTATTAATTGAAATTCTCTGGAATGCCTGAAGTTGGAACACTTGCATCGTAACCTGGCACTTATTTCGCCTGCATTTGTTTGGGTTACATATATGTATGTACATGGGGACTATTAAAAGGAAAGGGCGAATAAAAAAAAAGAGAGAGGAAGGGTTGCATTACTCATACGCCACGTTATGCAGCCGCTCACTTTATTTACTTTTTATTTAGTTCAACGCTTTTTGGCACGCATTTTTTGTGTGATTTGTTGCCAACTGAACTGTTTTTTGTGTGCTCTTTCTTTTTTTTGACTCAGTCAGTCGTTATGTGGGCTTAAATGAAGGGATTGACGGCTGAAAGGGGGATTGACGTGACAGCGGGGGTCGAACAACTAAATTTGAGTTGAGCTGGCACTTTGACTGATAATCAAAAAACATCCAAATGTTATAAAAATTTCAATTACGTGATATAAAAAATTAAGTTGCCCTGAAATCGATGGTACTTTGGTTAATAATTTTATATTAAAAATCTGTAACTTATTGTTATTGATTGTAAGTAAATAATCATTTTGTGACGTTCAAAATATTCTCGTCATTTGTGAACCGGTTAAATAAAAAAAAAAGTTAATTGTTGAGCTGGCAAAATAACTACAACAAATTATACAAAGTTTTTGATTTAAAAACAATAGCAAAAACCAGTTTTTTAACAATTAAGTATCGGAAAAATGTTCTACAAAAAGTTAATTAAAATAAATGAGTTTATAAGCTCTTACATCGATTATTAGAAGTATATGAACGAAACGATCATAACACGGTGAAGCTATTATCAAACTGTTACAAAAAATCAAGGTTTATCTTATGACTATATTTTAAAAGGAAACATTTTAATGAATCGGCTTGGAAACGCTTGTTGTTTTCTATTGAGCGTTGTTTTCTATAGAGCATGAGTACGTTGTTATACCCGGATGAGCTAATTTCCATTTACCATGTCCCTAATTATCTTTCAACCACATTTGAGCTTTCACCCACGAACATGTGTGGTTATCTCCAGTCGCATGTTTCAGCATCTTGGCCCTCTCCTTATAACCGTATCCCTTATACACGAATCCAACTTATTAGCCATAGCCCTTGGCCCAGGCTGCAAATGCAAATAGATGGCTTTCAAAATGCGCTTTCTAATTGCGATGACATTGAAGGGTAAAAGGGGATAGGGCATTGCGGGGTTATAAAGATGGCACTTATGCACAACTTTGGTCTAAACAATTGAATAATTTTTTTTATTCTTTGTTAAATTACAAAAAAAATTATATAACAGAGTTATGTGTTAATCATTTATTTATTAAATAAAAAAAAAAAACAACCTAGTATTACGTATTTATTTTCTATTTTTAGTTAGGTAGGTTTAAAAACAAAACAAAAATCGTACATTTCTTTTTGGATGCTTTACTATTATTTTGAGCACAACTGTAGAAGGGTTATGGGGGGTAAAGGAAAATTGGGCGGAAAAGTCATGTTAGTCAAAGGCGAAAAGGAAGCCCAGGACAGCTCTATATTTTTCTCTCTCTCTCTCTCTCTCTCTCTCTCCGTGTTCTCCCTTTCTCTCTCTATCTTTGTGTCAACATGTTGCGGCAACAAATTGTTGCACTGTTATTGTTGTTTTCATTAGTTTGGTTCTCCTGTTTTCATTCACTTGTTTGCTAGCCTTCTCTTTCTCTCCTTTGAGCCCGGTTTTTTCAGCTTTGAGCTCCCCTTCGCTTTTTGACTCTTTTTCGCTCTCTTTTGGTTGTTGCGCCGTCGCTTTTGACCACTTGGCTTCCGGTTTTTTTCACTTGCAGCTTGTTGAAAAATATATTTATTTCTTCCTGTTTTTCTGATACCCTTTCAACTTGTTAAGTACAATACATTTTAATAAAATAAAATGTTTGGTAAACCTTTTAAAACATTTCCATACAAATTTTAAATTATCGAAACTATTATGCTTTATTAAAACAAGATACGGGGGTAAATTGGTATTATAGCAGTACATTTGTTTCCAAATCTGTCAAATTTCAAAGATGATACCAAAAAACAAAATTACATTAATTATCGCCATCCCTGTAAGCAACTTTATTTGATATTTAAATATTTCTTGTTTCTAAATTGCAAATTTAGTAATAGTGCATCTTATGAGTAGATTATGGGAAAACAATAAAAGTTGTACAAACCAGTTTTTTAACTTAAAATAAAAAATATAAAAAAAAATAAAAAACAACAAATATCTAACATTCGGTTTCAGAAAATTTGAATGATTACAAAAATAAAAAAATGTCTTAAAAATGAAATTATTAAATACTAAACATCGGAAACCCTGATTCTGAAACACTTGTAATAATTACAAAAAGAACTATTAAATCATATTATTTTCCCTTTTTTTTGGTTTTAATATATTACTTATTTTCCGTTTCTCAGTTCCTTGTACGTCTTCTACTCACGCACACTAAGACCAAAACATCCTGTCATCGCACCTGCGCCTTATTTTTTTGCGTCGCATTTTTACTTGCTCTCTCTTTCGTCATCCTGTTTGGCTCTCTTTGGTCTCTCACCCGGTTTTCTGCAAGCTCTCTCTTCTCTATTTGCTCCTTCCTTTCTCCTTTTGTCAAAACCGCCCACGCTGTTTTCCTCAGCTTCTTCTTCCCTTGTCTCGGCTTCCTCTCATCGTGCAACTAGATTTCCTTCTACTCCCCCTCTTCCCATTTGGACTTGATTTCCGTTTTGCGCCGTCATGCACTTTGAACTCTTTCCTTTTTTCATTGCACCTGCCCTTTCATGCTCTTACGCCCCCTTTTGTACATCCTTCTTTAATTTCCTCTTCACTTCGCCCCCCTCTTCTTTGTCACCATTTTAGTAGCTTCCAAAGGCAACAAGAAACCCAGAAGGACGAAACAAAGGGCGAAGAATTGAGGAGGGCAAGAGGAACTGTAGAGGGGTGAGAATTGGATTGCATAGAGGGTGAGAAGAATTCCAGAAGAAGTGGATGTCTAGAAGAATCAAAGCAAGCGTAAACAAGTTTTAGGACCCTTTCTTGTCCTAGTCCAAGTAAATCCAGTTGGAGTTATCACAAAGCAAAGCTGTTGGAAAGGAAAACAAGAAACGCATCTTCAGTGAATCTTCTGTTCTTTCTGATTCTTCCAATCGTTTCATTTATTTGATTATGGGCTTTCTGTCTTGATTTCTTCGCATTTCTCAGGAGTAATGGATCATCGACAGTTTTTGAAAAAAGGGTACTTATTGAATTGTTATCAAATATGTTGAACTGCAAAGAAATTTTAAATATGTTGTAATTCAACATTTTTTTATAAATGTTGTATAATTAAAACCACATTTTTTAAATGCAATACAAGTTTTTAATATAAAAGTAGTAACAAAACAAAAAAAAAATATTTTATAAGGTGATCGCACATTGTCCTATGTCAGTTAAGTCCTTAATTTCACTTTCACAGAATTTGGCATGTTTATGTTAAAAAAAAAACCTTTTTCCAAAGTGAAATTGAGAAAATGGCTTTTTGTGGGGGGTTTTGTGATACCAAATCCGGTGATTAGACCTTACATCATCCACTTGGGCTCTCCGCAGACGCATTGTCTGATCTTGGTATCCAGTTTCTTGATGTCATTTAACAATTCCTGGCATAAAACGCTCTGGGAGGGGCATCCTGGACAAGATTCACCACCGGGTCCACATGACTTGCAACCGCTGCCTGGATTGGAAGGCTTAGTTGTGGGTTTCTTCGTAGTAGGTTTTGTGGTGGGTTTCTTCGTAGTAGGTTTGGTGGTGGGTTTCTTCGTAGTAGGTTTGGTGGTGGGTTTCTTCGTAGTAGGTTTTGTCGTGGGTTTTGCCGTGGTGGGTACAGTTGCGGTACAAGGAGGTGCTGTAGTAGCTTTAGTAGTAGTAGCCTTGGTAGTGGCCTTAGTGGTAGCCTTAGTAGTGGCCTTAGTAGTGGCCTTTGTAGTGGCCTTAGTGGTAGCCTTAGTGGTAGTTTTTACTGTAGTTCGCTTAGTTGTGGCAGGTTTTTTGGTGGTGACGGGCTTTTTAGTTGTGGGTGTACTAGAAGGCGGGGGAGGTCCCTCACAAGGCGGTTCTAATATTTCACAAGGCGTAGACGAACAGCCGATAAGCAGGACGCTCGCTAATCAGAAAAACCAAATAAGTCAAATTGTATGATAGGACTCCAAAATTTAAATACCAATCAGAAAGCAAATGGCGATCTTCATTTTGATCCTGGTCCGATTCTTTAGCTAGATGAGACTAGATGGTCCTTCACTGTATGGTGCTGAGCCCCGAACTGAATACTTAACAGGCTATTGCTACCCATTATATATAGTCCCTCTTGATCGCGACAGGGGCCTGATAAAAATAATCTTAGCTTGTTCAAATAAAGCCAGGTTCCAATAATAGACCAGAAATTTACATAAACTCCAGTTTACATAAAAAAGGGTTATTTGCTTTTAATATTAATATTACACGTGTGGTTCGTAAATTCTATTTTTATTGTTTTTGTTTAAAGAGATGTTTAATTTACCCTGAACTTTTAGTAGAACAGTCGTATAAGAAAATTCATATAAAATGTCTGAGGCTAAAGTCTAAAATTTAAAATTTTATTTAAATCCGTATAGGTACATTTTGTAAAAAATCATTTATGCAAATAAATTATGTTGTATGTTTAAATTTACAAGTATTTTTACTTATTTAAAACCTCAAAAAATGGTACAAGCTCTTAAACCTGAATTACGTCTTATATAATTTGTTTACTGAAAAGTTTCACTAATTAATTAAACACTTAATAGTCTAATGGAATTCTTAACATTGTTTTTTTTTCAAATTCTTCTTCCCGAGGGCTGCAAAATAAAAAATATACGAAATTGTAAATTTTGACCTAGAAATGCGAGCGCACAAAAGTCAAAACAAAACGCAGATGATAAACCAAAAGAGGCAGATAGGAGAGTGATGAATGAGGGTGGAGGAGGAGGAGAAGGAGGAAAATGGGAGTGGATACAAAAACGCAGAGACCCAAAAAAGTACAATGAACCCTCCAACCATTGTTGTTGTTGCTGTTGCTGCGTCGGCAACATTGTTGCTGCCCCGCCCACTTCGCCACGCAACCACCTCCCCTCTTTTTCCTCCAAAGTTAACAACATCTTCCAGAAGGGAAAAAAAGAATAAAATTATGAAAACAAACAATTTGCTGGGGCAATGTTGTTGCTGCTCCCGATGATGATGATGTTGCTGCTGCTGTGGCACGCTGCAACTTTTGCCCGGGGCCCAGGTTTTTTTGGACAGCCAGGGAGCTGGCCATGCATATCAAAACAAGTTCCGTCCCACACAAATGCCAGCACGTTTCGAAATTGCCGACGTCGACGCATCATAACAATAACAAAAGCCCCAACCAGACACACCAGCAACATCGACAACAACACCAACAGCAGCAGCATGAGCGAGCAAACAATTTGGAAGACAATACAACTACAGTAGACATATCCTTATAAGTAGTTATAATATTTAAATATATTGAGACAACCCTTAAAAAAATAATCAAGATTTGTTATATATTTTTATAAATTATCTAAAAATTACAGTATCTCGGAAATGAAGTGCTTAGTTAAAAAGTACAGTAGATACGGGGAATGGGACAAACTTGACTCTAAAGTTTAACTATAAACTTAATCAGTTAAATTATTTATCAATATTTATCACCATCTGAGGGGCTTCAATGTATTATTTGTGAATCAAAACGAAGAAAGTTATTTTTAGCCATACATACATACATACATATGTAAAAGTAACTTTTTTTTTAGTCAAATTCTACTGTACATGTGCATGAAACAGTGCATAAACAATGGCAGCGACGTCGACTGCGGCAGAGGCTGTGTCAAAGGGGGTGGCAAAGAGGGGCGAAAGGAAAGAGAGGTGACGAGGGGGAGGTGTAGGAAGCAGCGGAAAAGTTGCCGTGGACGAAACAATGACGCAGCAACAGCAGACAAATGCGAATGAGAATCACAATGAGAATTCCAAAGAGAATGTCGAGCCCAGGAGAACAAGAATAAGAAAAAGAAGAACAAGAAGAGAGTCTGTGCAGCATCTTAAGATGGTCCTTATATGGTCCACCGTTTAAAAAATACACAATAGTGAAAATTTGTATTTATGTATGTAAATTAAAAGTTACAAAAACCTAAAATGATTCTGCTTAAATAAGTTCTACTGATAGATAAAATTAAAAAAAAATTAAAAATTATGCCAGTTTCGCAGAATTTAAAAAAAATTCTTGTGAATTTATTTGTAAAATTGGCTAATAGATAAGATATTCGATAAATTTATGAAATATTTTGAGAAACTGTTTTCAGGTTTGTAAAAGACTATGGTGTTTGGTCCGCCCTTAAGTTCTTACACAGACAAATCGACAATTACACAGCTCTGTTGTTATTATTGTTATTTTCTTCCTGCTTCGCTATGCACAAGCGCAAGAAAAGCAACAGCAACAAACGGACAAACAGTCACAATACCTACATACATACATATGTACATATGTATGTACTTTCAGCAACCAAACAGGCGTGCTGGTCGACAGATGCGGTCGCCAAAATAGCCACACATAGTATTTGTTTGCATACTTTTTTTTTAATAAAAACTATATGGATAATAAAAATCTGAGAACAATATATCAGTTAGTATCCGTGTTATACACAGCGCTTTAATAGTTGATAGTTTAATTTAGCTAAAAATATTTTAAAATTAACTTTTAAGTATATGTGCCCATAGGAATTTTAAAAGTAAAGCATATGTTGCTATTAAATTGACCGCTTCTGTACTTGTGCTCTCTTCGCTCTCTTTTGGCTGCATTTTGCCATTGCTTTTGCTGCTGTTGTTGTTGCCTTGCGAATGCTGCGACTGCGACGCCGACAGCGACGTCGACTGAGGCAGGGGCAGCGCAGTCGCGGTGGCAAAAAGTTAAGTCAAAATTGAGCGGCCGCATTTAGTTTGCTTCTGTCATTGCATTCGGGTAGGAAATTCAGAAGAAACGAGAATAAAGGAATAAGAAACACCAAAAAACACAAGAAACCGAAACAACAAACAAACATAAAGCTAGTAAAATTAACAAAAAAAAAAGAAAGAAACCACAGCTTGCCTTTTTTTTTTCACGTTTAAGTGCAACCAATAAGAAGAAACAGAAACGAGAATAAAGGAGAAGAAGAAGCAGCAGCAGAGTGCTTAATAATTCTAACGGTAAATAGTGAGCGAAATTTCTCGGTGTAAAGTGCAAAACGAAAAATTGTCTGCGAGTGTGTGTTGTTTTGTTTCCAATTGCTTTGCATCTGTATTTATTTTCACGGTGAACTTTTTTCCTTGCATTTATAAGTTTGTGTTGTTTTTTTTTTTGCTTTTGAATTAATATATCATGGTTTTTTTGGCATTAATTTTTCGTACGATTTTTATTTTGTTCAGCAATTGTTACTTCATTTTGCAATAATTCCTACAACATTGTTTTTTATTTGTTTAATTTTCTTGTATTCGTAATGTTTTAATTATGTTGTGTTTTGTTTTTATTTATTTGCATTTATTTTGCTTTTCAAAATGTGTGCGTTTGTTTTTATCTTTGTATGTGCTTATGTGCTTACTTTTAACTTTTCTTACTATTTTTACTTTACATTCTCTTTTGTACATTTCCAGTTATTTCATTTTTATTTTATTTAACTTAACTGCACAGAAAACAATAACAAATTAGCATATTTTTAAACTTATTTTTGACAGACCATGTACATACCAAATTGAACTGCTGGTCCAAACAAATTATGTTGAATAATCAAACGGAAGATATGATGTCTTATATTGTTTACTTTTTGCGTATATATTTTGCAAAATATATAATTTTTTGTATAGATGCTGTTTCTTTTCTTTGAAAGACCAGTTCTTCAGCTTTTTTATGTTGTTTTTCTTTTGGCTTTGTTTTTAGCATGTGCCCTTTTTCGTGACAGAGAGAAAGAGAGAGAGAGGGTGGGGTTTTCTTTTTTCTTCCCTCCACACCATCTGCCATGCACACAAAAATAACAAAAACAAGAACAAATTAACAGTGGAGCGCGTGCTTTTTCTGCCGTATCGTTAAACACACCATTCGCCCACACACACACACATATTCATAGCTCTCTTTAATGGCTCTTGGGACCTTACCTCGCTCTTAAGTCTTGCTCTTTCGCACATTGCCTCTCTCTGTGCTGCCTTGGCATTTGCGTAGCCGTTCCCTCTCATTTTTTTCATTTCACATTATTTAGCCGTAGCGTGCGCGTCGCAGTCGCCGTCGCCGCAGACGTCACACTCTAAAAGTTGCGTCAGTTCACGAAAAAACTAAAAAATACTTTAAAATTAATTAATGAAAAAAATAATCATGCATATTTTTTTGAAGTTTTCAACAAAGTTTCTTTAAAGTGCATTGCAAAAGTTTATAAAGTAGGTTGAGATACAAGAGAAAAATAAGAAAAAAAACTGCACGGGTGTTAGTGCTAGCTGTCAGCTCTTTTCATTAACTATGAAATTGTGTGTGTGTGATATTATTTGGTATTATTTAATGAAACATTGAATTTCTTGAATTATACTTAAGAAATCAAACAAAAGTGATGCGTTGCACAAATATAAAATCAAAAATAAGAAACAAAAAAGTTATATTTCTGGTTTACTTTCAGCTTCTTCAAAAAGTTTAAAAATAAAATTTACAATGGAAAGGAAAAAATTGAAAATTGTGAACCCTTAAAACAGGGATGTCCTAAGAATGCATAGTAAATCTTAAAGTAAAAACCAAGTAAAACAATAAAAACACTTGCTCACTAAAAATGGTTTTATTTATCCGCTTACATTATTAGCAAGCTTAAACAGGAAGTAAAACTTAAAAAAATAAAGGCAAATTTTAAACAAAATGTGTGGTTAAATTTTAGTTAAGTTATTGAATTAATTAAAGAATAATAATTGAATTAATAAAAACTTTTCTGTTTTCTATTTGTACAAGCTAAAAAAATCTATTAAATATGGTACCGCAAAAAATAAAAGAAAAAACATTCACTGAACAAATAAGAAATTTTTCCTTTTTTTTTTTGGCTATTTTTAACTGGGCGAAAAGGAATTTTTTTGCACGCTTCATCACTCTTCATTTCAAAATTAGCAACAAAAACACACGACGAAAACCGCCAGCAAAAGGGAAATTCAAAGAAATTGCGTGAAAGGTGGAGTGAGTGTAAAGAGAAAGAGAGAGGAAAGCGAAAGAGAGCTTTGAAATTCACAGGGATATAGGAAATGTTGTTGTTGTTTGTTTGTCTGTTGCTTATATGCTTCTTTTTTTATTGGACTATTTTTCTGGCTTTCCGTTACCAAAAATTGCCTAAAAAGGATTAAATTTCCTCGAGACCTTTTTCTCAGATTACAGATCTCTCTATTCTCGGTCAAATCAACCGCAAAATGTTTCATTAATTCGTTAGCTTCTTTTTCATTTTTCATTTTTCCTTTTACCTTTTCATTTTGCATTTTGACTTTCGAGTTCCAGTTTAGTGTTTTATGTGATTGTTGGATGGGGAATCTGAATCTCAATCTCCTCTTGTGTGTACATCAACCCCTCTTAAAGTCCTGTTCCGGTTTTTGTCCCACAAGTAAGGTTTGCCTTTGATTTCTTCATATTCCCTTTCGATTTTGACATGCACAGGAGAACCTCCCTAAAAGAAATATTTCTGTTTTTTAAAATACGAATTTTGCAGTAGAAATTTATTTTATTAAAATAAAACTTTTTTACAAACTTGTCAAAAAAACTATTTCAATTGAAAAGGTTAACGTTTCTTCCTGATTATGATTAATGTATGATTAATTTTTTAATCGCATTTAACATATATTGGTAAGGTATTTATTTATGTGAATATAAAAAAAAACCGAATAGTTAAATTTTTTTCAAAAAACAAACCGTAAGTGAAAAAAAATATGTGAGAACTATTTACTTATTAAAAATAAAAACATTTAAAAAGCCTTGAGTAATACAAAATACTGGTCCTGTAAACCGTAGTTTCTGTAATTAAATTTTCCGTATATTCTTCGATATATACATAGGTGTTAGAGAGGTTCGACTGTCCTTGATTTCTTTCACACGCTGGCTAAGAAAGCTGGCGAAGAAAGCCTATCAATGAGCTATAATGTACCCTATAGGGTATTTTGGGAAATATGATGACGACCCTTGGCCCTCGAACTGCGACCTTTTGGGGTGGAATATCCCTCCCGCCGGCCCACTCTCTTTGGTTCTCTTCTTTCCCCTTTTTGTTTTGGGTCGATTTCTGTTTTGCGTTTTCAGGTACAATATATGTACCTATACCTATACAATGTTCTTTTTTCAGTTGGGTTCTCGGCTTCCCGAAAAATTTCAGATGCAGTGTGAGGTTGCGTGGGGGTGTTTCAGTCAATTACTGCGATTTTTTTGTTGTTCGTTCTTCGTGCCATTTAAAGTGATTTCGATTTGCATATTTAATAGAATTTGCCACGCGCCGCAGGCTTTTCCTCCTATTTCTCATCCTCGCTCTCTTCATCGTCATTTCCTTTGTTTTCCTCTCACCTAAGTTGGCAATGAACAACATGTCACCCCGTAAAACCGAACAAATCATGGAAACTAAGCTTTTGGTACCCTAGTAATTACATATTTCATATTCCACCATTTAAGCACTCGGAAATTTATAAATTTTTCTCTTATTGGATCTTATTTTGCGTTAAAGTCATAAAAATGTATTATTTATCAAATGATTATCAATATATTGTAATATATTTGATATCTTATTTATATATATCGTAGAAAAGTCTTTGACGTGTATTTATTTCATTTTGATCTATGCGTTTTTTTTATTAGGATATTTCTTTCTTATCAAACATTTTTGAACCCGTCTGAAAATGATAATATCCATAAGAATTGAAAGTGCAAAAAAATGTGTGTGTTTAGTGGGGTAATGAGGAGTGTAAATGTTATTGGAAGGTGGGTAGAGAGGGGCGGTTTGGGTGGTGGGGTGACCATTAAAAGCGTGTTTAATGTCAAGGCAGCGTCTTTTAGAGGACTTTTTGGATGTGTCTCAAAGCTCTCTCCAATTATATTCCCCCAAATTTCAGGGAGAGAGTAATAGTGAGCGAAAAAGAGAGCAGCTGCCAAAAAAAAATGCATTAAAGCCGGCTGCAATTTCTTTTAGCCATCTCTTTCTAGTGCGACCCTTGACCTTTTATATGAATTATGGCAGCAACAACAAAGACACAATGCAACATCAGGCTCTCTTAATGCTTTTCGCCGCTCAGTTGAATGCCCCATACACCGCGCACACACACACACACACACATAATGCACACATGGAACACCAGCAGCTGACGAAGATGAAAAGGGACGAGAAAAGGAGGGGAAGGATGGGGACAAGAGAAGGAGATGGGAGGGGAGGGGCGGGGGTGAGGAACAAAACAGCACAGCCTGCGCGCACGCGCCAACCTTTCTCTTTTCTTCCTCCTCCCTTATTCTTTCCTCTCGCCTTTTACAGTAAAAACTCTCTTTCAACTACTAGCACCCGCGATTTAATCCCAAATTTTTGTTTTGATTTTTGTTTTGATTTTTGTTTACATTTTCAAATCAATTTAACGAGTTTACTCCATTGTTTGGCAAAACTTGAAATCTATATTTTTGAACTTAATTAATTTAAATTTGAACTGTCAATGTGATATTAACAAAGTTAACAAAAATATAACAGTTCATTAAAAATCGTTGAGATTTGAAGCCTGGCTATTGCTACTTTGATGATCTATTTGATGTGTGTTTATTTTTTTGTTGAATGAGACAAATATATATTTTTTTATTATCAATTTTTCTGGGCATGATTTTTTTTAAAGAACAAGATCGGTGTCGGGGGCACACTGTCTTTTTCCGCTTTTGCCCCTCAATTTCCGCCCCTTTTCTTTGCCTGCAACTTGTTGGTTGGGGCTCTCTCCCCCTTCTTTTTTTGTTTTTTTTTTCAGCCTGTTGTTTTTGTTTTTTTATGTGCGTGTTGTTGCCACGCAGCTGTGCACAATTAGCGCAAACGCAACAGCTGCTGAAGTCGGCAAAGACTGCGCTGCTCAGAGGGAAAAACAAATAAAATACGTAGTTTAATTGTCTACCAACTCTAACTTATTACCATTTGTAGATGTCAAACTAACCTTGTTTATTGCCCTATTTTGTGGCCTTTAATTGTGACGTTGCGTGCAAAAAATTGTAAATAAACAAGGTTGTATAAAATCGTCTCATTGCATTCTGGAATATCTTTTATTTATAATCTTAATTTTGAAGAGTAAAAATTTTTATTTAGTTATTATAGTATTTATTTATGTGGCCTAAACTTAAAAATCTTATTTTTTCTCCTTTCAGTCTATGCAACTAAAACAACCCCGTAAAAATCAAAACCACCGAAAAATCAACATCATCAAAAGCGGCAAAACTCACCAACTTTAACAATAAAACTCAACAACAAGATCAAACACAATAAAACACAATCCGCAACATATAAGAAACAAGAAGCAACCAACAAACAAAAATAAAAAACTTTAAAAACGCCAATAATTATTACAAATTTATTTTAAACAAGTGCTACCAAAACTATTTCAACTTGTTTCAGTACAAAATTTCAACAACAATTTTTACCCCAACAAAATTTCAACCTAAGAAAACAATATTTTTTCCAACTAATTTCAGCTGCAATATTTTTTCAAAAATTGTAACAATAATTTTCACAATAACTCTAAACGTGTTACGACTTAGAGCTGCCACTGTCCTGCTTTCTCGCGTGTTTTCGTCCTATTTTGCATTGGTGTACAAGTGTTGTACTTTTTTTTTCAACATATATTTTTGTTGTGTTACGTGTTCGTTCGTCCTTGCCACGTGCGAGTGTGTCCTGTGTGCGAGAAGAGGGAGTGCGCTAGTTTGTGTATGCTATGTCAGGGATCGGGGGCATTGATTCGCTCCTCCAGGCGGCTAAATTTCTCGAGCAGCATGAGAAGCTCCCGCAGGCGGGAGTCGATCGCGGCGTGGGCGTGGGCGCGGGCGTGGCCCTGTCCCAGAATCAGCAGCAGCAACAACAATCGTCGCTACACTGCAAGAGCATCTCCATTATCAACAACAACAATAGCAGTCAGCCCAATAGAAATAGCAGCAGTAACGGGATTATTGCAACGCCACCGTTCACGAACGGAAATGGCAACGGGATCGTCAGCATCGGTAACGTGAACGTGAATGTTAACGTCAATGCGAACGGGAACGGGAACGGGAACGGGAACGGTCTGAGCAACGGTCACAGCAGTCCGCGCAGTCAATTAGCCGCCGCTGCCCACGACTACGAGTTTACCGCCGTAAACGGCGCAGTCGCCAACGGACACAGCGAAGGTCGCTCCCTCATCTCGGGTAAGTTCCCCCCCACACTTTGACCTACACTATCTTCCCCACTTGCCCCACAAGTCGGAGTGTTCCCATCACAATTGAATCAAGTTTTCAAGTTTTTGGCGCCCTCAGGTGGACTTATAGTTCTGCTTATTATACACATTATGATTAGTTTGCTAGCCCCTGAAGTTTACGAGATTTGAAAAGAAGAATAAGCAGCGATTTAAATCTCCAATCTCAAGTTTCATAAACAACAGCCAATTAATCGGTTTCGAGTATAAAACTTCATGAATTTGTAGGACTTTTCTACAGTTTTATTCTATATATTGCCATAATAAGAGATTTTAAAGCTTCTATATTATAATCAGTTTTTAAAGCAAATACTATGGTGGACTCGCACTTTTTACAAAGCGAATCTTGGCAATGTGCAGTGCATATAGTTAGCAGTGCAACTTTTAAAATGTAATTTTTTTTTCGATAATTTGTTGTTTATTATTCATGAAAGAAAAAAAATGTCCCGTCTCTTCCTTCAAAATATCATCAGCAGTGTTATATTGATTTCAGAGATCGAATAAAGTATAGTTTTTTAGCCCTAAAAACCTCTTAAAAGCTTTAACTAAAAAATCAATTTTGTTTGGAAAACTTCGACTTAATATAAACCCTAACAAAAACCCATTTGCATCATTCATCATCGCATAACCACAAAAATGCCAAAGTCTTAGCTACGTAACTGCCCGCTGCTGTGTAAACGTCGTCTAACACTTTTTCTAGTGCAACAATATCAGCTGTCTGCTCCCCTGTTAACTCTTGTTGGTCTCTAGTCAGGCGACAAAAATTTCATAATAAAAACTTACAATAAACACGAATATGTTTAATACTTCAGCTAATGATACTGTGCTTAGCATGTGCAACTTTTACGGCCCACGACTATTTAACTATGTAGCATTAATTGCTTTCTTAACTCTAATGGCCGGGAATATTATTTTTAGCATATAATTTGTCGCCTGTGTGATAAAAAATATGAGATAACGTAGCGCTGTTCTAAACTTGATTGATTATGATTGGAAGGTGTAGCCAACTAGGTGATTGTGGGCGATAACCGCTATTAAACAATTAGGATACACATATAAAAAAACAGAAATACATATTTAGGGGGGGAAGAAGATATATATAAATAGATATACTTCCATAACTTGAACCACCAATAATTGCCGCAAATATATGTAGGTTTGGGTCATTATTGAGTAATGAAAGTTCGATTAAAGCCAAGCTTTAAAAATTGAAATTCACCAAAGTCTTTGAACCAATCCAAGGATATTTTTGGAAGATCTTTGTAGAACGCTGAATAATCACAATAAAGAAAACAATTTTTTGTTAGTGATGGCTCTAGCTGTGCGCGTTGGTAAAGGGTTAATTGTATTTGAGAGCTCTGTGGAACAAGGAATAAATCTTTATATATTCTATAATTTGCTTAGCCTTGTTATATTTGACCATTTTGAAATTGACACTTTTGTCGCCTTTCCCAAAACGAAACTGTTGCTGCTTTTTCTTACCCATTTGCTTTTGCTGCATTTAAACTTGTTTTGACCTTGTTTGCGACGCCGACGTCGACGTCGACTGCACTTTGCGTGGGCGCGCACTGTACCCAAAAATAAAAGAAAAATACATTTTGAATAAAATAAAACCCAATGGCGCTCTCGCCCTCTGTCGCTCTCCCACTCTTAATCGCTCTTTTGGCACAGGTTGCAAGCGTGGCAAGCAGCAGGTACTGTTATATTTTTAGCACGCTGTCTGTTTCGCTGCCAACGTCGACTTCGCTGTCGGCAACGCTGCTGACGTCGCTGCCCAATTGGCATGTGCTAAATTGTCATGTTTGTCCCTCTTTCTGCTTTTGCATTTTGTTTTTGCCTTGACTATCGGATACAAAAATTTGCAACGTCAAAAATACAGTAAAAATAATGAAAATCTAAGCTTGACAAAAATTTGAGTTTTATAACCAGCTAAAAGTTGAACTTGCTTTATCTTTAAACTATGTATGTTTGGCTTGAAATCCAATTTTTGAGTCATTGAAAAATGTTTTCTTTATTTAATTAATTTTTTTTGTATATGGGTATGTGGATCTTTTAAATTAATACCAAAGAATTTGTTGTGTAATGATGAAAATATGATTTAAACTGCATTTAAAATAATAAATATACGTCATAAAGTTAAGAAATTTTACTATTGTATTAATGATAAATGTTTAAAAGTATCTTCACTGTATTTAGTATTTTGTTTTCATTTGGCTTTTGCTGTGCTCATTTCGGTTTTTTGGATTTTTCGTTTTGTTCCAACATGTGTGTGTATTTTGTTGTTGTTCATCTTGGCTTTTTTTTTCATCTGTTTTTTTCTGAGCTGTTTATTTTTTCTTTGTCTTTTTTTCGCTTTTGTCATGCGCTTCGTTCGTATTTTTTCGCACGTACGCTTGTACTTGTTGCTGTTGTTGTTGTTTGGGGTCACGTCATGTTATGGATCTCTCCCTATTTTTGCTTAGCTCTCTTTCAAAAATTAGTCATAGCTCCTCACTCCACGTGAGCAGTGGTTCTCTTAAGTTTGCTCTATTTTGCCAGCACAGCTACTCTTTCTGGCTCCACTCTCATTTTTCTCTTCTCACTTTGCGCTCTCTTTTTGGCTGCTGGTGTAAAACAAAGTCAATGAACTTTGTACGCATTTTTTGTTATTGTTGTTGTTGTTGTCGGCCTTTTTTTCGTACACATTTAATATTATTTTTCGGCCTTTCCCTATGCTTTAATGTTTTATGTTTGTTTTCTTCACACTTACAAATTTGAATTTCTTGTTTTTTAGGTATTGCATGTGTAATATTTGGACAGCTGTTTTTTTGTTGTTCTCTTACTTTCTCAGCGTCTTTCTTTTAGTTCCTGTTTTTTATTTTTCCCTCTTCCTGTTTTTTTTTTTACTTTGTTTTTGCTTCCTTTTGTTTTAATACGAGAAATAGTAATTTGGGGGAATTCTATTTTAGTGCTAAGAAACTTCCTCGAAAATCCAGGTCCCTCGAGCCTTTTCCTCTTAAGTGGCTCAAATGTGGGTGGCGATTTACCTGGTAAAGCCTAAGCTTGCAAAAAAAAAAAACAGCAGTTTGTTTGTTTTTACATTACGTGTGAATAAAGTAAAGGACTTCAATTGTAACCAATATTTTATAGCGATAGTTAAAAAAGAGTATGACTAAACAAAATAATACATTGAAATAAAACTGTATTTTGTATTAGCCTCTCTTTCCTTGACGAATCACGGTTTTAAGGAAAACGATGTCTGTTTTCCATCCGACTTACATTATCTTGTAAATGCAAATTTCCGGAGACTCGTTGATTTCTAATCTTGGTTTCCTCAGCCGTACTTTTTTCTCTGCATTATCCTGCATTATAACTTATGCAACTTTACTGCAACAAAATGGTAGAACATCAACAAGGTCAATAACCCTCAACATTTGAGGCCTTTTCAAAGTTTGCTGCTGTTACAGCAGCAACATATTGTTGCTCGGCAGCAACACCAAACACCCAATAATAAATGGATATATCGTCATAATGGTTATGGTACACATTGGGGAATATTGCTTTAAATTTTGAAAACATATGTGTAACATATAGCTCATATTCTTTTAAAAAGATCAAAAACTTTTTTTTTGTATCAGTTAACAATAATGAAAGACAAAATTAATATAACCTACTGTAATTAAGTTTTTATACGCATTAGCTTTTGTTTATTCATAGATCCTAAATAACATTTTTTATAAATTTTGTTATTGAACAAAAAAAATGTTTACAATAAAAACTTTTTAAATAAAGTTTCTGAGAAGTTAACCACCCAATTGTTTCGGTGTATGAAACCCAAGTGCGCGTGTGTGATAGCTTGGGTTGATAATTGTGCAACCGAAGTTGTTGCAGGCCACGTGCGCCTTCGTCACGTGGCATTGCGATGTGGGTGTTAAATAATGTAGAAAAAAAGGGGAGAAAGAAAGAATACATGTGCAAAGAATCGAGTAAGAGAAAGCACAGAGAAAGGGGCGTTGACAATCCCAACTGGAACTTAAATTCCTGAAAAGCATGCCATCAAATCAAGAGCTTCCTGTTAAAAAAAAAGGTAATTAAAACTTGCAAATTGAAAATAAATTCAACTGTCTAAAGGGTGTTTCTTTAGTTTTTCCTACAAATAGTTGTTCTATTCGCTTGCACACAAAAACAAATTTATGCAATTGTTTTTTTCAGTTGCCATTTCCTTTTTGGCAATAGAAAACCTTTATAAGAGTACAACACTTTATTCAGAAGCTTAATCTGGTCCTGTTTAAGTAAGCGTACTATAATTTATGAATTAATTTATTGGCATACTATTTTTGAACAGCGCCAGCAATAGGGTTCTTTGAAAACTTAACTTGATACTCTGGGATTTCTAAAATCATCATACATAAATATGTATTTTGTATTTGTTTTCTGGGGTTGTCTTTCAAAGGGCTGTTACTAGATATTATCCCCATAATTTCCGTTTGAGCTACAAATTCGATCTGTCTTTGTGGTTTTTCGCTCTGTCAGCCTGCGACACGTGTGTCGGCTTGCTTCACCTAACCTCCCACCACCCACCACCCTCCACCCACCACTTATCAGCCCCCTAATGATAAAACTACCCAACCACCCACCGCATTTACCTAAGAAAAGCAGCGCAACAACAATCGTTAATAGTGCATAATAAATGCGATTGCCGTTGGCTTGGCGCCTGTTTTCGGACGCAACTCAATGGAAATTCGCATCGTGTTTTCCACGAATGCGTAACTAATTCATTACTTTAACATACATACACATACGCCCGCACTTAATCATATATAATTAACCCACCGAAGGACCTTCATCGCCCACTGATTGTTGACTGTTGATTGTTGACTGTTGGTTGTATTGTTGTTGTCTGTTGTATTTAACCCGAATTAATTTGCATTCATTAAACGTCGCTTTTGTCTTTTTTCCGTCGCTTTGTGCTCTGATTTTCAACCCAAGTCTTTATTTAGTTTAATACAGGCCATTTTCCTGGTATTTGTCTAGATTGAAATAAATAAAATCATTTCTGAAAAAAAAAACCATTAGAATGTTGTGCCTAGTTGGTGTGACTGTTTAACAAGTTGGAAAGATTTTTTCAAAGAAAAACAAAAGATATACTCAATAGAAAAGTTCAATTTTAATATGAAAATACAATTGTGTTCTTACGATTACGAAGCAACTAATTGTTTTTAATCAAACATGTGCCATGTTTTGAAATAAGATGTAGAAGATTTGGCAATTTAAAAATATAGAAATATCTAAAGAAAGCATACATTACATTTTATAAATAAATTGTGCAATCGGTGGAAGCAAGCTAAGTAACTTCATTTAATTTCAAATAATTTGTGAGATCAACAATGCAGTTAAACGATTTTATTTTACTTGTTTTTTTCATAAAATTTTATTAGATAAGGAATATTTTAGTATAATTTGTAAGCTTGTTGTTTATATCTCATTAGTGTTGCATTCATTTCGTTTCATTTTTTGTTTTATCATGTTATTCCTTTAATTTCCAATTAATTTTCCTATGCCACCCCCATCCCACTATTTTTTCTTAGTTATGATTTGTCTTCTTATTTTGGTTTTTTCTCCTATTTCTTCTTTACTTTTCGGCAACTTTTAGAGGATGATAATTCCTCAATCAACAAGAACAAGAACAGCAACAACAACAATACCCACTCCCCACAACAACAGCATATTGCAGCGGGGAGAGCAACAACAACAACAACAAGAACAACAACGGGAGCAACAGCAACAACAAAGTTGATGGAACATTCAAACTCTCCACCTGCCACAAACTCCCCCACAACCACAACCCCCTTGAATACCACCCCCACGCCCGCCTCCTCTGCCTTTATGTTGCTGGCAGCAGCAGCAGCAACCACCACTGCAACGCCAGCAACGCCTGCAACTGCAACAATTGCTGCTACTGCTACTGCAACTGCAACTGCAACTGTAACGGCAACCACTTCCAATCCTGCCAAGCACAAATTGCGATGGGACGCCGACACACCGTCCAAATATCTATTCTTGTCTTCCGCGACGTCGCCCACGAATCTAAATGGCGCCGCCCAGGATTCCCTACTTTCGAGCAAGCACCACGGGGCAACGCTCAATAAGATCATACAGAACATGCAAAACCAGCAGCGACAGCAACTTCAGTTTCGTAGCTCGCGACCGGCGGACATTTCCCTCACACCACCGCCGGCAGCCACGCGAAAAGTGGACACCAGCACATCGCGGATTCGCTCCTACTCACTGTCCAATGCCTTTCCAGCACCCAGGGATCAGCAGGATCATCAGCATCACCATGCCAATCACCATCTGCAGTTCCAGCAGCACCTCAGCTATGTGAGGGGCGGAGGCAACACGGGTGCCGTTGTCTATGGTGTGCCAGCGGATTCATTGGACTCATCCGGAGCATCATCAGCGGGCGGAGCGGTGGCGATGGCCCTGAACATCGCCTCCTCGGCGCCAGCGGCGGGATCTCAGCTGACGGCACATCAGCATCACACGGGACATGGCGGACGCAGGCGCACCACCAGTTCCAACAGCAATGGGTGAGTTACACAGAAGAGAAGAAGGCACTCAGCTTATCAATCTTCCAATAAATATGCCCCAGAAGGCAATTGGGTTTTAGGTGGCGCCATCTGGGTTTTTTTGAAATATGCTAAAAGTAACATTAAAGCTAAAATATTGTGGTTCGATTTGGAAAATGTTTGTTTGAGTCGTTGGCTTTATTCTGTCAATATAAACATATACAGCTCAATAACTGACCTCTCCGTTATATATGAGTGACATGACAGACTTTTGCGATTTGTGGGCGTTGGGGGGGGCGTAGACATAACTAGAATCTGCATGTTAAATACCAAATCTTTGGGTTTTATTGTTTTCAAGAACTCGACGTTCATACGGACATACTTGTTAGGAATATACAACATATATACCTTATAGGGTTGGATACATGGTCTTTTACCTGTTACATACCTTTTAACGAATAGAATATACCCTTTTATATGATATGATATGGATGCATCGTTAAGCACCAGCTTTGTCTTCTGTTTTCTGAAGACTTTCTCTTCAAATTTGCTTGTCAACATGAACTAAGCCCCAAAAATGATTCATTTCAGAGCGGGCACTCGGGAGGTGCACAATAAGCTGGAAAAGGAGCGACGTGCCCAGTTAAAGGAGTGCTACGACCAACTCAAAAAGGAGCTGCCCATGAAAGATGAGGACCGAAAGAAGACCTCTAACTTGACAATACTCGAGACGGCCCACAAATATGTCAAGGTAAGAAGTCTGGCTAGCGTTCTTAAATGATTTAAGTGAAGAACTCTTATGCGAAAAGATTAGAATTAATCAAATGAATATCACGAAAGTATCAAAATAAAACTTGAGTGTTTTAAAAATAGAGCCTTAGAATACAGTTTTAAACTCTTTGGTAAAGGTTGTTATGTTATTAAGTATTGAATTAATACATACACTTTAATACTGTCTAAAGTTGGTTTTGAAGACCTATTTAAAGCCTATTTAAATTAAACTTGTGGTTGTGTAGGGTAAAAAGGTCTTTAAGCTTAAGATTAACGAAAAAAGGTCTTTTAAGCTTTACCCTTAGTAAAGACGCTGTTCCTCTTTATTTTATATTTCATTTATGTAGGCTAAAAAGGTACTTTTAAGTGCAAGATTAAATGTATATTTGATTAACACGCTGCTACTCTTTTACATTGCAGCAATTGACGCAGCGTGATCGCGAGCAGGAGGCGGAGGTGGAGCGGCTGGCGAAGCAGAAGATCGAGCTGCAGAAGCGGCTGAAGCGATTGGGTTTGAGGAGGGAAACGCCGCCCACCGATCAGCAGCAAAGCATTCCACAGGCCGACAAAGGTTCGAGTTGCACTCCATTTGTATGTTTTCCTAGCCAATCAGATCTTTTGGTCTAGACTGATCCCATAGCTAGACACAAATGTGGATCAAGTTTTGCATACGCTTCAGGGACGAACCTGCATTCTGCATTCTACATTCTGCATTTTGCATTTTACATACTGCATTCCAATTGGAAATTCGATTCCAGCCACTTGCTGCACAAGCTAATCTCTCCCTTTCTCACTCTTTTTCCAGCCGTTTGCCTGGCAACAACAACAACAGCAACAGCAACATCAACAACCACACCAGCAGCAGCACCACCAACGGCGGTCAGTGGTCGCAATGGAACCACGATTCTATTCGATGCAGGCAACGCCTGTGCCACTGGGGTGAGAATATGTCACCCACATAGAATAATACCCATTTTATTGTGGATGTAAACTGAATTTGTACATTTTTTTGTTGTTAACTAAAAGCATTTGAAAATGAATAACATACAAGCCAAAATAATACCCATTCAATTGTGGATGTAATCTGAATTTTAATAGATTGTTTGATTAGATAAACATAAAAACAAAGATAGAAATATTTATAGACTATGTTTTCAATTAAGTGCATAAAAGGAATCAAAAGAATGTATTGTATGTAGAAATAAAAATTGATTTGTAATTTATTTTTTTGTGGAATGATTAACATACAAGTTGTATTTGAAAATGTTTTTTTACTTTAAGTTGTAATTAAAGGTATTTTAAACAAAATACAAATGGAAATAATACAAGTAAATTTATGTACAGTTAAAATGTAAAATCAGTGTATACATTTTTCATAAATTCATAATTATTTTTAGCCAAATAAACTACTTAGAGGATTTTAAATGTTTTGGTAAAATGAAAATAAATTTAAGATTTATATAAAAACGTAATAGCCACCATTCAGTTTGCAATCCTTGAAAGAAAGTCTCCAAAAACCACAAGCTACAATTAATAATTTATTTTCCGTTTCCACTTGGCAGCAGCTAACAACTGTGATAAACAAAACAAATGCCAACCCAGCAGCAGGAGCAACCGCAGCCAGCAGCAAACACAATGGCAACCACGCAGGAGCAGGAGGCGGTGCCACAACCACACTGACTCCGGCCATGGGGATAATGACAATTAAGAATGGCAATGGCAATGTCAACGGCGTACTGGCAATCTCACCAACGGCAATCCAGCAGCAGCAACTGCATCTCGGTAGCCCAGCGGGTAGTCCGCCATCGGCAATTGGAGCGACCACTGCTGGAGTTACAATCATACGTGGCTCGCCCACGCCATCGACGCCGTCGCCGTCGCCGAGCTCCTCGTCCAGTGGCGTCTCATCGTCGGCCTCGTTTATGGGTATCGGTGGTGGCTCCTCCTCATCGTCCTCCTCCTCGTCATCATCCTCGTCGTCATCCTCCTCCTCCTCCTCGTCGTCATCATCATCCTCCACCTCGTCGTCCAGTTCGTCGTCGCCCACGCAACAACAACTACAACAACAACAGATCACCACGCCCTCGACTACGACCACGGCTACCGCCCATTTGGTAAGCGCCCGCAATGTTGGCCTGAAATTCCATGGCGGTGCGGCTGGAGCGGCCACTGCTTTGAATGGCGGTGCCACCATCGTGGCCGCTGCTGTGCCAACTGGCGGTGGATCAGCAAATGGTAAATAAATATAATAGTCCACTGACGGCAAACTGCAATCTATTTTGTGTTTAATCAACAAATATTGGATTACCTATTCATATTAAGAAAACATTGCAAGTGTTTTTTAACGGTTCTAAACTAATAACTGGGTTTTTTTTTATGAGTGTGTGTTTAAGCTGTAACTGTTTCTTTATTATGTAACGTATTTATAGATAAAGGAAGGAGTCTATTCAAAATATAACGTTTGTAGTATAAGTAATCATTTCAATATTTCATTAATATTTAAGTTTAAATTTAAAACTAGAAAAGTTCCATGCTCTAAAACTAATATTGATTTTGTTTTGATGTGAATATAGATGTATAATATACCGAATTTTAACAAATTACCATATTAGTCAGTGGACTTTACACTTAAATATTTGAAATCTGATTTAATAACAATGTTGTGTTTGATTTTCGAACAGGTTTCCATCAGGCGGATAAGGATCGCAATTACAATTTCCTGATGCTCAGTGCTGGAACAACCGCACAGTAAATAAACAAACGAAATAACAACAACAAATAAACACTTACAACAATAATGTAAACAACAACAACAACTGAATTGTGTGCAACAGCTCCCACCTTACAAAAAAAAAAATTAACAACAACTAGAAGAAGGTTCTCTAAAAGAAAAACAACACTTTTTTCTTTAAGCAAGATAAAAAAAAACAAATATTGCGTATTTTTCACACTTTCGCACACATTGAAACAACAACAACAATAACAAGAACAGTAACAAACTGTAATTTTTTATGAAAAACAAAAAAAAAAAACAAAAACAAAAGCTATCAAACAGTTCCGCCCAACACTTAGCATCGATTTTGAAAATCAAATAACAACCAACAAAAAATGAAGAGGGAAATTATTTTTTAATAAATAATTTTATAAAACAACAAAAAAAGCGGGAGAAAGCTTACAACAAAATCAACAATATGCAAACAACCAACAGCAGAAGACCAATAACAAAAAATAAATATACAACAGCCAGCATTCAACAACAACAACAGCTTAAAATCCCACAACAACAATACAACTGCAACACACAGGCCCATCATCATGCATATATACTATATATATTATATATCTAATTGTACTACTTTATAGTAAAGCCTAGAAAAGAAGAGAAAAACACCAAGAAGATAGCACACTTAAATGTAAAACAGAAAAGAAAAGAAAACAAAACCAAAATGCGCTGTTGAAACAGAAACCACCAATGGGTAACGCTTTATAAATATATATATATATATATATATCTATATATATATATATAAAACTTAGAAGAAGAAGATTATAAATTAGAAAAATGTTAAAGCAGGATTTCCAACATTGATGTGGCAAAGAAAAAACCAACGTTTAAACGAAAACAGATAGATGTCTCTTTTCTTGACCAACAACTGAACCAGAAATAATTTTTATTTTGGTATACGTTCTTCTTCTTTCAAAAGCGAAACCACATAAACGAAGCAAAAATCAAATCAATAGAATTATATGAAATTAGAATGTTTTTAAGTCAAGTATGTGTGTGTGTTTGCAAACAAAAAACATTAACCAATAGCATGTAAAACTAAACAAAAAGCTGGCGCGAGAATGTTGTATCTGTGTAATACCCATTTGAATTAGATATTAATGTAGCAAGCAAACAATACATCGTAGGACAAAATGTGTAATAGTGCAATAAGCTAACAAAAGCCACACCCAAACCCCCCAATTTAACCAAATTTTTTTTTAGAGAATTCTTATTTTGATCTTGTTCTGGAAAGACACGCATATAAGACATTAACATATAACATGTAGTGATTGCGTAAACCCAATACCTTCTTCTTTGGCAATTTAAATTCCTGCCTTAATGCCATTTAAACGGAATTAAAGAAAGAACATAAACAAAGGCCCCACAAATCTGATACGCCCCCAAAACAAAAGGAAGCTTATCAAATATTTATATACAAGGAAGGGTTTAAAAAAAATAACGAAAATAGCTTAGAAATAGACAACAACACAATTATCACTATAAGCGAAAAAATCTAGCAAAAGGCAGCAACACAAAACTGAATGTTATATTTTGGAGCATTTTTTTCAATGTGTATGTGTTAGCATATATTACATATATATATATATATCTAAAGAAAGGACGTGAGGGACGATTGATAAAAGTATTAGCAAAGATATCTCTTGAACAATAATGAAGGACAGAGACAGAGAGAGATGGAAAGAGAAGGTCGTCTCTTTCTACTCCCCCTAAAAATATTTGCAAGTTTTTTACGTCGGGGCATTGAATATAAAACTATATATCATCTATATATATAATTGTATACACGAACTAAAGTGAGCAGATCAGAGATAGCTTGAAATTTTCCATATATTTTGTAAATACTTAAAAAAGAGAAAGTGGGAAACTCGATGTTTTGTTTTTTTATTATTTTCTTATTTGTATTACGGGGGATTTTTTTGATTTTTTTTTTTAAGTTTTTCTACCAAAGGGACAGCAAATCAAAAAATTATTTTCACGCAAGAGAGTTTTACACGAACGGAAGGAAAGAAACAAACAAGTAATCATTAAAAAAATCGAAATCTAAAACTAGAAATATATATATGTGTATGGAAACGTCTGTGTAAATGTGTTTGAATGTAAAATGCTTTAGTCAAGTAAGTTGAAAGAAAAAATTGAATTAACTATATAGTTATATATATGCCTGTGTCTGTCACTCGATTTCTGTTACTAATCATAAAAAATATGTATAAAAATAATACAACAACACACACTTTTGAAGAATTAACCTTAACCATTAAATTAGCTATTATGTTCTTTAATTTATGTTTTTTTTTTCGTTGTATTAACTTAAAAACACTTTCTGAAAATGTTTTTTTCTTGATTTTTTTTTAATGATCCTTTGTAAGTAGACACGTAACAAATTATTGAACATAATACTTTTTTTGTGTAATTTGTACTAAAAATCAAACAAGGAAAACAGCAAACAACAAAACGATTTCATTTTAGAAATTTAAGCTTAACTTAACTAATTATTATTGTTTAAAAAAATTTGTTCTTTAAGTTGAAAACAAATCGGGAGTATTGCAAATTATAATTATTATTAAATATACAACAAAAAAACAACAAAACAAAGAAGAAAACTCAACAAAAAAATTATATTTATAGAGAAAGCAGACAACAAAAACAAGAAAACAATTTCAAACAAAAAATAAAACGAGAGAAAACCTTTTTAGCTGTAAATGTAACTTGTAAAATTAATTTTAAACGAAATGCATACAAAAATAAACAAACAACAACAAAAAAATCAACAAAATCGGAAAAGTATGGCTAGAAGTAAAAAGCGTAAAAAAAGAATATATATGAGGAATGATATATATATATATATATTATATAAATGTGCAAAGAAAACAGAAAATGTGACAAAAAAAAAAATAAAAAAAAGAGATTTCAAAGCAAAAATATTTAAAAGTTCGTTATTTTTTGGGATCGGGTTTTATGTGTTGTCACGCTTACAAAAAAACTGTAAACTGTAAAAAACTGTTAAAAGTAATAACAACAATCAGTATTGTTTCTACTGTTTATTTTGGCCTAGTTAATAAAATCAATTTCAAAATACGGAATGTCATACATCGGCGAATTCGACATTAAATTGCCAATCAAATGGCATTCTCAGTTAAACATTTTTCAGATTTTCAAAAATTCGGAAAAAATGATGATAAAAAAAGCAAAAATTGGTCATAAAGTTAATTTTTCAATAAGTCTATTTTGAAAAATTAATTTTTCTTATTAAAACCAAATAAATGGCTCTAAACCGATTTTAGATGCGTAGTAAAGGTTGCTAGCTGTCCAAAACAGCCACTCTTATGGCTCTACCTATAATTTTGGCCAAGTTACAACACAGAACGCTTTAGGAATTTTTGTATTTGTCAAATCTCCAAAAACCCAAAATAAGCACCTAAAATATCGGTTTTTGTATCAAAACCTTGGGAAAAAATGGTCACCAGATGGAATGTCATACATCGGCGAATTCGTCATTAAATTGCCAATCAAATGGCATTTTCAGTTAAAAAATTTTCAGATTTTGAAATTTTCGCAAAAAATGATGATGTACCCCCTTATCAAAAATGCAAAAATTGGTCATAAAGTTAATTTTTCAATAAGTCTATTTTGAAAAATTAATTTTTCTTATTAAAACCAAATAAATGGCTCTAAACCGATTTTAGATGCGTAGTATAGGTTGCTAGCTGTCCAAAACAGCCACTCTTATGGCTCTACCTAAATTTTTGGCCAAGTTACAACACAGAACGCTTTAGGAATTTTTGTATTTGTCAAATCTCCAAAAACCCAAAATAAGCACCTAAAATATCGGTTTTTGTATCAAAACCTTGGGAAAAAATGGTCACCAGATGGAATGTCATACATCGGCGAATTCGTCATTAAATTGCCAATCAAATGGCATTTTCAGTTAAAAATTTTTCAGATTTTGAAATTTTCGCAAAAAATGATGATGTACCCCCTTATCAAAAATGCAAAAATTGGTCATAAAGTTAATTTTTCAATAAGTCTATTTTGAAAAATTAATTTTTCTTATTAAAACCAAATAAATGGCTCTAAACCGATTTTAGATGCGTAGTATAGGTTGCTAGCTGTCCAAAACAGTCACTCTTATGGCTCTACCTATAATTTTAACCAAGTTAAAACTAAAGGACGCTTTAGGAATTTTTTATTTACCAAATCTCCAAAAACCCAAAAAAAATCAGCTTAAATATCGGTTTTTGATCAAAGCCTTGGGAAAAAATGGCCACCAGATGGAATGTCATACATCGACGAATTCGTCATTAAATTGCCAATCTCAGTTAAAAATTTTTCAGATTTTGAAATACTCGTCAAAGATGCAAAAAGTGGTCATAAAGTTAATCTTTCAAAAAGTCTATTTTGAAAAATCTGTTTTTTTTATTAAAACGAAAAACTATATAAAACGGGTCCGCCCGTTAATTACGTCTTAATGGTTTGGCGATACCTACCCACTGTGGGAATATACAAAGTCCAGGAACTCAACCTTTTCCAGTTTAGGCGGCATGGTACATTTTTTTATAGTGCCCATAAAGTAGAAATAGTTTTTTGGTTTTTTGATTTTATTTCTCATATTTTTCGGTTTATTTCTGAGTCAAGCTAAACGTACACTCCTTCAATCGCCATTATTTTAAACACTCGTAATAATAATTTATGTGTATATATTTATATAAAAAAAATGCGGGTTGTTGCTTGTTTTAGTTTGGATATATGCATGTGTGTCCGTGAATGGGAAAAAAAAATGTTGTGAGGCCATGTGTTCATGTTTTTCACAACAGTTTTCACAGGGGAAAGAGGGAAATGCTTGATACAAAATGTAAACCAACCATCAGTTAATTGCATATATAACTTATATATTTAATAATAATAATTATCATAATAATAATAGCTTAAACATTACAATACAGAATGCAGTTTTACAAAAGTAAACAAAGATGCAAATCAATCGGGAGTAATTGCTAAATATATAGTGGATGTGTTTCAGCGTGAAAAAATAACCATTAGTAAAGAAAATTCTTCAAAGCTTGAGTTTATCTTTCTCCATTTGTGTTTTTTTTAATATCCCTAATCATTTGCTCTCGGTTTAGAAAATTACAAAAATTGCATTAAAAATTTCTTTCGATTTACTTCGTTTACAATTAATAATTGGAGATATTTTTTATTTTCGTTTTCCTTTGTTTTTTCCTCTCTTTTCTAGCATTTTAAGTGTTTTATACTTTAAACTATTTTTTATATATTTAAATATATATATATGTATATATATATATTTATATATATATTTAGATGTATTTATAAAAAGCTTTTCTGTGTGGTTTCTTGTTGGTTTGTGTTGTTTGCATTTTGCTATTAAACTTTAAAATATTACAAGAAATTGTTTGCGTATGTATAATTAAACAAGAGAAATATTTATAGCATTTATTAAATTGCATAATTATTACTGTTTGCTTTAAGTGTCTAAGATTGATTATATTTAATAAGTTTAAGCTTTAGTTTTGTTTTTGTTTAACATTTTATTGTACGGGTGGTGAGGGCAACACAAAAATCGATAATTGAAAAGAAAAAACGAAAACGAAACGACAGAATTTCTAAGCTGTGTGTGCTGTCTGTGTGCTTTTCATTTGATGTTTATCGGGAAATTGGCTTCCTAAATAATATATATTTATGTATATTACAATGCAAGTTAACTTGGATTACGATTACGTGGTGTTTGAGTTTTGAGTGTGGCAAATAATTTAGATATTCTCAGCGCAGTGTTTGTGTGTCCTGGTGTTCTCTAGGTCAATTATTTATTAACATATCATATCGTTCTCTTCTCCATCTTTTATATATTATGGTTGGTATTATCCGTGTGGCCGTTTTTGTTTCCAAGTTGTTGTTGCTGCTGCAGTTGGTTGGTTGGTTTGTTGTTCATCATATGGTTGTTTTCGGTTGTTGTTGTTGTTCTTGTTGTTGTTGTTCATCCTACAGCAGTTGGCAGCAATGAGAATTGGGCTTCGGCGGCTGTTTCACGTCCGTCTGACGTTGTTTTTTACGCGATGAAATATCCCTGATTAGATCATAAAATACCTAGATAAATCAAATGGTTTATTAGTATTTCATTATATTTGTAATGTTTGTTCGTTGTTATTTTTTCAGGGTGTGGGGTTAAATTTGTTTTTCTATAAATACAGAAATTTTGAAAAGTTGCTAGAAACCAAAGTAGAAAAGATCAAAAGAAAAGAAAAGTTTACACAGTGTCATAAACTTTCTTCATTCACCAGAAAACAGGGCTTTTCAAAACTAATTAATATCAAATTCCAGAACAATTAAAGAGATTAAAAAGTATCCATCATTGTATTAAATATTGTATGTAAGTTATAATTTATTTAATTTGTATTTTATTAGTTGAGAAACTCCCTGTTCTTCGTATTTCGTACACCAAATAAAAGTTTGTAAGAAATACAACCAAACCAAATAAAATAAAGTCAATATTTCAGGCATATATCTTAAGCAATGTCAAAAAAAAATTGAAATCTTTCAAATATATTGCAAACAATCTTGCTTTAGAAAAGTGTTTGTATAAGCGTGTATGTACAGATGTGTCTTTTTGTGTTTGTGTTAGTTTTAGTGATAGTGATAGACTCATAGGAAAAAAGTTATTTCTAATTTATTTCAAATAAGCCAACATATTTTCATAAACCCACTATCAAAGCTCTAATAATGTAACTAAACCTAGACTGCCACTTTCTTGTTCTTTTACGCTTTAAAACAAGTTTTTTTTACATTTAAAGTTAGATAACCACACGATAGAGCTGGCAAACCATTGATAGTAAATTATATTCCAATAAAACAAATCGATAAAATTCTTTTTATAATTTTGAAGTAGGTTTCAAACTGTAAACACGAATGGAATTATTTATATGTCATATAAATGTGTATAATATCTTTTTTTATTATTTGAGAAAACAAAACATTCGATTACCAAATCACAATCGATAACTATAACCATTTTTATCGATGTTTTTCCAGCTTTGTCCCAAATATATTAAGCGCTAGTCTAGTAGTTAATTTTAAAGTGTTTAGTTTATTGTGTAGTCTTGGCAAAAGAAATTCAATAAAAAATAATATAAACAAATCCAACAAGCGGAATTGCAATCAAAAATAAAATCTTGTATAAATTTATATGTGTAATCAACCGAGTTAAAGTAATTAGTAAAAGAGATAGAGATTACCGAAAGTAATCAAGCTAGGGATTAGGCAAAGAATTAGAGTGTCTACGGGTTAAGTGGGTGTGGTCATATATTTATATATAGGATATAATGTGGAAGAATTGTATGCACCTAATGCCTAAAGTAGGGTACACTTAAGTCTCCGCTTCTTGCATCTATCTTTAGCACGCCCGCTCGTGGCTTTCGAATCTTCGGTTTTTCGTGATCTTATTTCGCGCATCAAATCAAAAAATACCTGTAATTGTGGATTGGGAATTAAGTCATATACAGAGTAAGTAGTCAGCATTAGAAATAGTAATAATCGCCAAGTCAATATATAAAAATAATGGATCAAAGATCGAACCAACATAATTACACACACACACATTTTTGCTAGAGTTCTATTAGCTTTTGGCATTTGTCATTAAGAGTAAAAATAAAACAAAAATAAAATGTAAACGTGTTAAAGGAAACGACGTTGAAAGCTTGCAGAATTAGGCTACGATTTTTGGCAGTGCATTTTCTGTTGTAGCTGTGTGTGCTTGTGTGTGAATCTTGTGTGTGGTTCGCTTATGTGTAGGTGGTGTATGCCTGGGGAGATAAATAATATCAATGCACTTAGATTTCAATTGCTCTAAGTCTATTCTATTTGCCCTTACTTGCAACAGTAATCAAATGCTTAAAGTAAAATAGAGATCATAATTAAACAAAAATTAAGGTTTACTAACGAAATGTTGCTACTCATCAAAATCAACTTAAATGTCGTAAGCTAACCTAAGACCTTTTAAATTGGTGTTTGAGTTTCGAGTGTTTTTTGCTTCAATCTAAAAATATTTTAAATATATTTAGACAGGTTATCTAGACCAAATATTATGTTATCAAATGTTATATCTTAAAACATTTCTGTTTTTTATAGTTTTCCCATTACATTACAATTTATAAATGGGGTTTTTCCCTTGATTTGTTGCTTCCTGATTAGATTTGTATACTTTTTAAATGCAAACAATGCCCAGACTCATTTTCCATGGACTTGTTATCTGAACGCCCCCCACTTATCAATATCATTTAAAAACGCTCGAAGTGTTAACCTTGAAGTGAGTGTAAAGTTATAAAGACAGATTGTATTTAGAGAGATAAGAACTTGGATTCATCGTGAGAATTAGTGTATACTGTTGTTTGGGATTTCAATATTAAAAACTGCACTTAGTTACCGACTTAAAATTAAGGTTTATTTTCAGCCCTTAAGGCTTTGAACGACTAGTATTTATTACTGGCATCCTTAGAAAATCGCACTTAAAAGGAAGAGAAACCATAAACGAAAGCTTCAGTGGGTGATTGTTGATTTCTACTAGCTCTACAGCTTGAAACTCAAACAACTTGATAAGGAAAGACACTATAAAATGAGTGTTTTGCTTGCGAGAACATTGAATACAATCTCAGCGATGTGTTTTCGTTCTGTGAGCGAAACAAAGAAAAACAAATCACATGAAATAAACTATGTATGAAAACTAGTTGAGAACAAATTATAACTGTGTGCAGTTTTTGTTTGTTGGAGAAACGTTTTTAGCTTGCCAATTTCCAAAAAGAGCTTCGCGAATAGATCGTTTTCTATTTTATTTTTTTTTGATTAGGTTGGTGTATTGTTTTTGGAGGACAAATACCACACACACAACTCACCTTGTCGACATTTTCGCGGGTTTTAGCCGAGGTCTCCACATAGGGCACCGCCCACTGCTGCGCCCTCAATTGGCACTCGCTCAATGGAACCTTACGCTTGTCGTTCAGATCGCACTTGTTGCCGACCAGCAGGAACGGTATGCTCTCATCATTCTTCACCCGCAGTATTTGTTCTCTAAATAGGAATGGACAAAATATATGCATTAGTAGGTTTAACAGAATTTAAAAAAAAAAAACATTAAAAAGAAGGGAAAAAGTGACTTTTCTGTCACAGAACTGAAAGCTTAAAGCAAAGAAAATAATATATATAATAGAAATAATATTTATTGGCTGCCTATCGATTTTGTTTAACAATAAAAACTTTAATAAAACCTCAATGACAGATATAGCTTAAGCTATATATATTATTTATCCTTAAAGTGTTAAGAACAAGCATAATGTATTACTACAATTATTTGAAATTCTATTAAAAATCATTTTCAAATTAATTGAATTTCCTGTTAATTACTAATTACAAATTTAACTTTCTATGAAACAAAATTTGTAATAAACTTTTTGTTAAATTGGCAAATGACAAAATGACAAAATGAAAACCCAAACAGCCATAAATGATAAGCGCTTATCGGGAAAACATGACTCAGTGCATGTGAGCCAGAAAGTAAAAAGATATATTTATGTAAACACACTGAAACGGACAGGGGAATGCATAAATATTAGAAAATAATGAAATACGGGTGGAATATTTGCCAAGCAGGTCCCACTCTGACATTCAATAGCTATTTCTCAGTTATATTTATCTGCCTGCAGCTCCATTAAGTTGTCAAGTTTGAGTATGCAAAGAGGGCGCCTTTAAGTGGCAGTTATGACAACGATATGGACATATATCCTCCATAGGTGGAATTATCCGGAGAGACGACATGATACGGCATACTTAAGGTAGGATTAAAGGGAAAGAGCTATGGAATATTTAAATGCTGATTTATTAACCTGGGCATACTAAAGGGTTGAGTTATGAGAACAATGGAATAATGCATTTTAAGACGTTTACTCGTAGCTCAATGCTTTATTTTTTAGCAATGATAGATAGCTCAAATAAAGCAAAAGTGGAAGTAACCAAAGTACAAAATATAATCGGAAAAGAAAATAATATATGATGACACATCACAGCAATCAAGCAGCACCCTAGAATACATAAACAATTAACTCATGGAGAACTCAGACCAAGATGTGTATAAAGATTTATTACACATCCTAAAAAAAAAAAAAGTAAAAGGGAAACAACTGAACAACTTGTGTGACTAATTAGCAGCGCAAAATAAAAAAAAAAAAAAAAGATGCAAGAAAGAAAAATATGTAAAACTTGTGAGAAATGAAACCGCGACACTTGTCAGTCTGAGACAAACGCAAAACGCGAGACTCTCGAAAAAAGGGAGGGATGGAAACTGCGAGGAAAATGCGGAGGAAAATGCACAGTCGAGCAGAGCCGCTTGACACACTCACCTGAATTCCTGGGTTGCCTGGAAGCTTTCGTCGTCTGTGATGGAGAAGACACAGAGGAATCCCTCGCCGCTGCGAAAGTAATTGTCTCTAATGGCGGCATAGTCCTCCTGACCAGCCGTATCCAATATGTCTATTTGTACTTCCTCGCCGTCCAACACAACCTGTATTGCATGGGTATTTATTGTTTATTTATTAAAATATTAATCAAAAGGGTATTCGGGTTTACAATACAAAACATTAAGCAATACTTATTTCATTGCGTCCAATTATTATTTCAATTTAGAATAGAATAAAAAACAACACAACATGTGGGTATTATTATTATTATTTAAAATATTAATTAAAAGTGTTTTCATTTTTTTAAAACGATATTCTTTTCAATAGTATACATAAACCATACTTAACTATTGTTTAATAATAATAGATTTCTAAGAAATTTGATTCAAAAATATAAAAATAAATAATGCCAATTCAAATTGTGTTATATATTTTAGATTATGATATTAGTGTGAGTTATATTTAATTTACGACTGTTTTTATTTGACAGGAACACAGAAGGTTCTTATAGTTAACCGATGGTTAAATGATTGCTTTACAAGACTTTAGAAATATTTCCTACTTAGTCCGATTTCGATAATAGTTTAAATGGTTGTTCGTTGTTAAAATAAGTTTTCTTTCCGATTCTCAATCATATATTGTGAACTATTGTTTGACTTTTGGTTATTAGGGCTGCTGGTTTTGTTTAATGCACCACTACTATTTTTGTATTGAAAACTCGTGAATTCGATGTCTCTGGATCCTCACCTTTTTCCTATAGCTATCGGCCTTGGTGGGCTCGTAGTCCTCGACAAACTCGTCGTACATGAACTGCAGTGTGAGGGCGGACTTTCCCACGCCGCCACTGCCCACCATGATGACCTTGTGGAGCGCCGGTCCGGCTGTCGGCTTCTTGCTCATGATGGCGGGATCTGCTCGCTCACTCGCTCACTTGCTCACTGGCTCACTGGCTCACTGGCTCTGCAAATATGCGGGAAATACATATAAATAATTATATGAATAATAAATGGAAGCTTCCTGTTTGGCTTGTCAGCAAAAAGTAAAATAAACGCATATTTCTTGTTGTGGTTTTGTCATGTTTTTTTTTTTTGGGAGCGGCTTATATACGTATAGGGTGCGAATGGGAATATAAATGGTCAACTGTAGAGGAAACCACGATCGTATATAGTATGTTTCCCAAACAAAAATAGGAGCTGTCAACTAAACAGTCGGCTCACAGGTTCACTGATTGTTTTTGACTCGGCTTTTCAGCTTTTCTTCGGGTTACGTAACAAACGATGGCAATAAGAAAAGCCGTCAATGAGTAGCCATTGTACTTTTTACACTTTCAATACCCTTTCAAGGTGTATGCTCTATATTTATTTGACCATAGTGCCATATAAAATATTTGTGTTATATAGATTTTATAACATGTGATTTTATAAAATGTGATTTTAGACCTTTTGATTTTATACCCATCTAGTTATTTTAAATTTTAAAATTATTAAACTGTATCAATCCTTTTGATTTGACTATTTTTGTAATTGCATTTAGTATCTAAAAATGTAATTCAAATTTAAACAATTTGTAACTTAAATAAAATGCTTTTAAATCAAATAGAAACAATTAAAAATATTTTATTAATATGATTTAATATTTAGTTTAAATATAAAATTTTTCATTCAATAGTCGGCTATTTATTTTTACTAATCCACTTTCTTATCAGTGATAGGGTATTTGCAACTTCGACTTTCGTAGTTGTGAGTTTTGTGACTTGTTTCTTTCGTTTGGTTCGAGTCGCAAATGAAGCATAAAATGAAAAGTTCATTGAACTATTTACACATGGCAAAGCGGGGCAACAACAGCAAAAGCAAAAGCAACATAAAGACCAACATATATAGCAGCATAATGCAGACCGGGCCAAAATGTCTCTAGGGTTTTGTTTTTGTTTTGTTTTTTTACCCGCTGCCGTTTGCAATTAGCCTTTTGTGACCATTCCATTCCAACCCATTCTTTCTTCGCTCACTGCGTCATCGATTGCAATAAATTGAGGCATTGTAAAGTACGCATTGGGGTAAATATTCCCATTCCCTGTAAAATGAGCCCAAATAGGCACACGTGCACATTTGGCAGTTGGCCAATTTCCATTGAAGAGTTCAAACATTCAAGCGGATTCCCATTCCCACTATAAGCTGTATTTTTTTCCCAGCTTAACTTGGTTATTAATCCGCAACCGAGTCAGGGTTGCCAGGGTATTTAAGTTACCGAAAATAACCACAAAATTGGATCCATTAAAAAAATGACACAAGCTAAATGTAAACCGCATTCAAATGCAAACGTATCGAAATAATTGTTTATGGTTGTTGCATGAGATAGGTTTGTTGGCTTTAAAAAGCGTATTTATGTTTTGTATCATATCTCGTTATTTTGGCTTTGAAATGTATGAAAATAAAATATAACTATTTTTAATTATACAAAAATAAAACATTGAATAGTTGATTTAAAACTTTGATTTAAATAATTTGATAAAAACAAAACTATTTTTAATTTTAAAAATAAATAAAAATCACATAAATAAAACATTGTATAATTGATTTATTAAAAGTATACATATTTTTACATATATTGATATCAATTATATTTGAAGTACTTTGAAGGCAGAAATTGAGATATGTTTCCAAACACAGCTACATTTTTGTTTACAAAAACGTCTTTGAGAAGTTTTATAAAATGTTTGTAGCAAATCCAAACACTTGTCTAGACTTTGGACAGACATTGGAAACAGAAAAAGTGGTTGCCCCACAAGCGTTGTGAAAATCTCCGAAATAAACTCGCAAGAAACAAAAGGGTATTCCAAAAATAAGCCAATTCCCTTTTTTATCTCTATTTATTCCGCCTTTTCCCATACACTTATTTTTTTCTGCAGCTGCCTTTCGATTTGACGCGGCAGCGGTGGAAAAGTGGAAAATTAAATGGAAAGCGGGCAGCTGCTGCTGTCGAATCAATCCGGAGGCAACAAGTCAGTCAGCCAAATGAAACAACGGCCAACAATTGCCAGTCAGGCAGCCGGTTGGGCCACCACTGCGTATGAGTAATCAACGTAGAGCTGCACGTCAATCAATTTCGACTCGAAAGATAGCGCGCAAATAAAAGTCGAAAAAGTGGAGGGAAAAAACTTCCCACACCCATGTTGTTGAGTCAATTGAATTGTCAAGGAGGATTGTTGGCCAATTGCTAACATTGCTAACAGCAACACCTGGGAATAGAGCGGCAGCAAACTTGTTAAATTGCATATTACTCATACGCAACGCTGCGCGAGCTTGACAACGCGAAAACAGTGGAAAAACCTGGTGGCCAGTGATACAAAAAAAAATGGGCATTGCTATAAGTTCCTTAATTCCATTCCAGATGTTTTTTTTAATTAAATTTCTTAAAATTTATAAAAAAAAAATGTTTCTTTTAAACTGATTTTGGTGATGTATTTGTAATATTTGTGTTTTCAGTATTTTCAAAGAACATTCTACAACTTCAATAAAGGCCAAAAATGCAAGCAATTATGTAGCACATAAACGATCATAATAATATTTCCAAAAAACTTTTAACGATCTAGAAGACCGCATCGTTTTTCCGCATCTGCACTTTTTCTAAAATTAACATTATGGCCAAGATTGTATGGTCCAAAAGCGGGAATGTGCATACCAATTGAATTTATAGTTGAGCAAGACAAAAAACAAAAAAAAACTAGTAAAGCTGCACATATGCAATTAGGAATTTCTCATTTTCAATTGAAATATTGACGTTCGATTAAGACTCTACTTTTTTTGCAATAAAAAATAGTTGACTTGGAAGTTAACCGTCGAGTTAAACGAGATATGGTTCCCAAAGCCAATGGTGACCGGTTATGAAAGGCAATTGAAGAACCCGAAGTTATCACATGAAGCTAAAAGCTAAAAACCATCAACATACAATCATTTCTTAATAATTTCCCTTGACTTGATCTTTTTTTATTTATTTGTTAATCTGAACATTTCAAGCAACATTTTGGCTTCCTCAAGTAAATAAGGAAAATTCGATGATGATTCTGCTGATAAGATTGTGTGCTGTGGAAATATATATATATATCTGTTTTTCCTAAACCAAAGTCGTAAAAGCCGATTTAATTGTTATAATAAAAAAAAACCAAACAAAGCAGAAACGAATTTTTAGTTTTTAATGGTGGCATAAAAAATAATTTTCCCTCTAATTAATTAAGGCCAAAACATAGAACGGGTTGTATACTTTTGTATACTATATGAACATGTTGGTGTTTTGCAAACATTTTGTGTTTGGTTCACATGCGTTTTGTTTTGCGGAAATTTCATTTGTTACCTTTTGCTCAAAATAATCCAACTAAAAGTCATTTCACCTGCCATGACGTCATTGCCTAGTTGTTTATGCTAGTAGCAGTACCACCCCGCAAAAGCCACCCAGCTTTGTGAATAAATTAGCCAAAGTTCTTGTTTGCATTCTAAACAAAAACGGAATTTCGTTTCCTCTATTTCTATTTGGTGTGTCAACATAAACGGCTCTTTCATGTTCATCAAATATTAATTTTATGCCTTCTGTGTTCTGTTTGGTTGGATAATGCTTCAAAAAACTATAGCGTTTGTTTTAAATAAAAATTAAAAAATAATTTTTGGCCTAAACAAATATATATTTATATAAATGAAGCCTTTTTAAGCATCAAACTAGAAAAGCTCTTTAAAATTATTAAAACAAGGCAGAAACATAAAAAAGAAAATGTGTTTTAATTTAATTTTCCCATGAGCTCATTAATCAGTGCCAGATATTTGTACTTCAAACAAAACATTTCAAACGTTCTCAGTTAGTTTTTTAATGTGTTTTGAGCTTTCCATTACTTAAATGCTTAAATGCAATAAATTTGAAATTTTCGAACCGTGTTTATATATTTTAATGTATCGAATATTTTAGTTTTGAATCCCTTCTAATTTTATAAACAAATTTACTTTATACGTTTCTTATTTCTTTTGGAAATCTTTATTTAATCATTAATCATGTATCTCTACATTTTCAAACAACATTAAAACGTAAACTTGTCATTAATCTTTTAGTACATCAAAGACTAAATAGTTTAATGTAGAAAATGAAATTTCCTTTCACCTTTTTCGCGCCAACGGGCCCAACAAACTATAGTACTTTCATCGGCAACAATGTTTGCACTTTTACCCCATAATATATAAACTACCTTTTCCGATTGATACACTTCGAGTGAACTTTTCCCCGGGGCCAATAATTTAGTATGAAGAATCGAATCGTTTTGGCCGATATTTATTTGGTCCCAAGTGATTTTGAACAGACCGAAGAAACCGCCGATCGATAGAATTTATGAAGTTTTTCACAATCCGCAATTTCTCTGCTATATGTGTTTGTGCATATGTATACGTATTATATTTTTTTAAATCTACCGGCTCCGTTGGGCGTCCGATTTGTTTATTACTCATATCATGGCTTCGCTTATTTTGCCATTCGATTTCGAATTGATTTTTCCTTTGTTTTTTCTTCTTGCCTTTCCGTTTATACCCCCCTTTTTATTATTTTGGTGGTGGATTGGCGGCAATGACGTCAGTTTTCAGCGTCTTCTCCTTTTTGGAGTTTAGTTTTTCGTGGCTTTTCATGGTCTTCGGCCACGGGTTGCTTTTATTTTACTATTACAGTGAACACTCTGGAATGTAGACTGTCAAAACAATGATAACTTTAATGTTTGAAATGAATGTATGCTTGAAAAACGACTATATTGTTTAAAAAAAAAGCTTTTTAAATTAATTTGGTTTTTAAAGCCTCATGATCAAAATTATAGGACATCTATACAACTTAAAGTTTAAAATTTTTTTTTAAAACAATCTTAAAGAAAAGGACGATCTAAGATTAACGCTTTTGATTGAACTGAAACCCATATTCTTAAAGTTATCAATTCTTAAAAA